AATCATATTAAAAAAATATCTTTATCAAATAGTTGAATATAGAGATTAGAGAGGTAGATTTTTGAAGAGCTTCTTGTAGATCTAGAGAGTTCTAAAGTTTTTTAAGTAAAACTTGAGATTAGATTTGAGTTTAGGATGAAAAAATTAATTTAAAATGTGATTTAAAATATTTTTTTATCAACGTTGATGAACGACAGCCGATAAAATCAAGAGACATCGATGATCAATTTATTTCGAGGGAAAAGAGAAAAGAGGGAAGGAAAAGAAAAGAAATAGAAGGAGAAAAAAAATGACTATTTAAATTTAGAATGATATCATTTTGGTAGAAATATTCTTAACCTTGAAATGACATCGTTTTGAGAAGTTTGACTTACTTTAAATTTGATCCGATCATTTGACTTATTTTTTTCAAAATTTTAAAGAAAATAAATTCTTTAATAAATTAAAAGAAATAACTATCTTCAATTATATTATATTTTATTAGTTTATTTCGAACTAAGTTAATATTGTTTTTAAGTAATAAGAGCAACTAGTTTTATTGGATAAGTAGTCAGAATCAATGAAATTATAATCTCATAAAACAGAAGTATATAAAAATTGAAATATATTAATTACAATAATCAATCATTAAATGAATATAACAATGACGGCATGTTGATAATTGATTTTATCACAGTTCAAGTACGACCTATTTTGGAGTGATCACGAGCATCTATCAATACGAGAGAAACAATATGAAGTTTCAAATCAGAAGTATATCAATAAAATAATCAAATAAACACCAGTTGAGGAGGCAACCCCAAATTCAACCCTACCAAAAAAATTTAAAAAATCTACAAAAACAAATAAAAAATATAATATTTTTATTATAAAATAATAATACTTATTAAACAAAATAAGATTGCTATTATTGTAATTTTGACAAATAAAAAGCCTAGAGAAGTAAAAAACTACACTAACGGTCCATCTATTTGAGCCGATATGACTTTTAATTTTCAAAGGGTTTAGGGAACTTAAATTAAAGCCAACCCAAAACTTTATATACATAGTAAATATATCAAAGAACAGGGTTGCCCAAAATCTAGTTAAAACAACCTGAAATCGTTAACATTAACAACAAAATAAAGAAAATTGTTTTTAACTTGGTATTTGAAGCCTGATGATAACATTACATCCAATTCTCATATGTTCCCTTCGTTAATACAATAATCTTAGTGATCATCATGGTTGAAGCACCACCTCTTCTCAATGGGATTAGGACATTCGAAGTTTGCTTGCGTTTGCCGCCTAAGGTCAATTCTGTCGGTATCTGGGAAAACCTGGCTTCTCCTTCGGTGATTCTCACGTATTCATTACCGCTTTTTGAGTTACAGGTGATCTTGATATTCATGGTCACTCATGTCATTTATGTCATCCTCAAGCCTCTTGGAATCACCATGTTTGCCTCACAAATGTTTGTATGTTAATTAATTACCTACAACTTTGCTTCTCTCTTGCCCTTTATATTTATCTTGGGTTTCCCTGCATGGCGATCAAGTGAAAGGTTACCTTAATTTGTGACTAATATCTTTCTTTTAACTTTTGTTGACTAGGCCGGCATGATCATGGGGCCTGCAGTGCTAGGGGAAATAGAAAGTTTTCGAGATATATTTATTCAAAATGGACATGAGGTTGGCATTCACAACAACAAAGAGAGTCCTAGTGATTGGCATTGTATCCCTTTTATGTCCTCTTGTGGTTAGTATAATTGTTCAAGAGACCTACAAAATGCCTAATCAAAGTGAAGGAATAACAATGGAACTAGTTGTGACAATCCCTGAATCTGTGACATATTTTTCAGTCATCGCATGGATCCTCAGCGAGCTCAAGATCCGAAATTCAGAGTTGGGACGACTAGCCCTATCAGCAGCGGCCGTAAGTGACTTGAGAAGCTTATTACTATATGAATGCTTTTCTTTAGCACAATGTAGGGCTGTGTCACCATTATTGGCAGTGGGACTGGCAGGAGCAACGATTTTTTACTTATTTCTTCTTTTTTGTGTGGTTCGTCCATGGATGTTTTGGGTAATTAGAACAACACCCGAAGGCAGGCCGATCGAGGAAGCGTATATTGTGAACATTGTGATGTTAGCTTTAGCATCTGGTATGTTTACTAATTGGCTCGATCGTAGTCCATTACTCGGGGCTTTTCTTATTGGTTTGGTTGTCCCCGAAGGACCGCCACTAGGATCTACCCTAGTAGAAAAGTTTGGTTGTTTAGCCAATGGTATCTTTCTAGTAATCTATGTAACTACATCTACAATGAGAGTTAATCCAAAGAAGATGTTGGTTGATCCGACTGCAGTCAAATTTACTTGTGTTTTTGTTATTGTCACATTCCTTGCCAAATTCACATCATGTTTCGTAGCTTCATTTTGGAGCAAGATTCCTTTGAGAGACTCCTTGGCATTTTCTCTCATTTTGTGCAGCAAAGGCATTGTAGAGCTCTCATATTTCTCCAGTTTCAAAGACAGTGAGGTAATAAGAATCAACATCGATCTCAGTTGAATCCATGTGTCACTATACGGTGCTTTTATTAATAAAACACTAATCTTCTTTTCATTGCTTCCCCCAGGTTTTGTCGGATGCAATTTTTAGTGTAATGAGATATTGAGAGATGCCAAGCGTAATGGATTTAGTAATGTTTGCAACGTGATGTATGTAAAACAAGTTTCTAACAGCAGACCACAAGTTATGAGTATCATTCGATCGATTGTGGGTGACCATGAATTGATCATCGTTGGTAGACACCACACATTGAATTTATTACAGATTACATTTTTTTTATCGGAATTGAGTGAATTTCTCGAGTTAAGGGTCATCCATCCACATATATACATAGCAACGCATATGTTCTAGTTGTGCAACAACAAAATTATGTATAATAGATTATGTCAAATTCAAATATATTTTATTTATTATAGGTGAAATGAGATAGATTTTGTTCAAATTTTTTATTCATGTGTTTGATTCTTAAATAAATATTTTTTTGTTTTGTTTAAAGAATTTATAATAGTGTTACTCGAATGAGATCTATTGCACATATGCATAATAAAACTTTCACCGCGATTTGAAAATTGATATGATTTGAAAAATATGCACACTGGATTTAATTCGAGTAAAAAAATGCTTATGGAAAATTTATACAATATAGGCACATAAATAAATCGTTTACCACACATAGCTCATTAACTTCTTATTAGTGTTATTCTCGATTTAGAAGTAATTATCTTTTATAAATGTTTATTCTTGATTAAGATTTTTGACATTAAAATCACCATTACTAAGTATAGTTTGATTATTTAATAGATTATGGAAGATAAATAATCTAAATGAATCACTCAATCTTTTTAAAAAGGATTTTCACCATTAATAAACCATAAAACATGAGTATTAGAAATATGATAGCTTGCATTGTCTTCAAAGACAAGTATGTAGTTAATAATATACAATACCAAATCAAGTTTCATTTATTTCATTAGAAAGATTCAATGACCTAATCATATAAATTATAGCTTCAGATTTAACTCGTACAATTTATGATGAATTTTTGAAGTTACTCTCATTGTTGATTTTTTAAAACAGACTGATGCCTTGTATTCTAATCTTCACTCACTCAAAAATTTACAACTCCTAATATATGGATCGGAATAGAGAATTGTTTGTTTTAAACGAAAATATATTTACATGTAGTTATATAAATATAAGGGTCACTTTTTAATTTATCTTGTGGAATTTCGGTGAGTTTTTAAAGTCACTGCTAGAACTGTTTTATGATAATTTTGCTATCAAGATTTTATGACCTTTCATCACTAAGAAATTCGAATCTTTTAAAATATACATTAGAATTGATTGTCGTTTCTTCTTAATAAAACTAGACTAACATCCTCCTTGCAAGACAACTCGTATTTAACTTCTTAAAATTCTTACCATCATAATATAGAGATTTTAACTTTACCCCTTGTATTTTAGAGGGCGAAATGGTGAGAAAACTCAACACCCCCCAATTCTCTCTCTCACGACAAACAAGAAAAAAATAAAGGAGAAAAAGATAAAGATGACATAAAAGAGAGGTTTGAAAAAGGTGGTGAAATAAGTAATTAAATAAAATAAAACAAATGATCCATCATTAACTTGAGTCAATGATCGAACGTTAACTCAATAAGTCAGGTCATTACAATATATGTTGGCCACCTCAATCATCTTGTTGATCTTTGTTGGCCTGTTATCTATTAGGGCGTACATCAGATGATCGTGCTAAAAACCATTGACATACATAGAGATTGTTGGCGAGTGGTAGATTGTTCTATTGGTCAAGAACTGGCCAACAAACATTTGCAACAATTATTTGAAGTTACCTACGCTTATCGTGGGCATAGAGTCATACTAGTTCTTCACTTCCCTACGGAGAGTGGTGGGGAAGACTCTGAATTTTAATTCATGGGACCCCCCTCCCCCGTGATATCCATACAATTTATGTATCGGGACATATAGTTTGTGGGGTCTCAAGTTCCATGGGTAAGAAGTGCTCTATATGTGGTGCATGAGAAGGTTGTGCTCCTCTATAAACCAATCAACCCCAAAATTATTCGAGGTCCTAAGGTCATCGATTTAATTTTGCACGGCCTTCATCTTCCTTTTTCATTCTTCTCGGCTTGAGTATTAAAATAATTTAAATAACAAGTTAAGTATTAAAATAGAAAAAAATTATAGTTAGATGGTTAAATTCAGTATGAAGAATTACAAAAGAATGCATGGAGGATGACTTTGCCAACAAGGCAAAGCGTGGGACCCAAGATGGTATGGTACATTAATACTTGGGACAACCTCAACCTCAACCCGACCTCACTTAAATCTAAAGAAAAAACGCAACTCTGAGCGCGTGAATCTCAAACCACAAGAACACTTCCCCACAAGTCCCCAAAGCTTATAAGGGCCATCACAACCTTCTGGGTGGCCTCCTTTTATGTTTTTTACCTTCAAATTTCTCCAGAAACCCTAATTTCCTCTAATAATTTCTCTCTCGTCTTGAACTCAATATCTCCAGCCTTCTGATAGCTAATTTGAATTTAATTGGAACCTTTAGATCTCAATACCCTATTTGTTTTGGAGATGGCTGAGGATAAGAATGGAGATCGAAGTGAAGTCAGTGATTACTCATCGGAAGATGAAGGGACTGAAGATTACAGAAGAGGAGGGTACCATGCGGTGCGTATTGGTGACACTTTCAAGAACGGTGGCTATGTGATTCAGAGCAAGCTTGGTTGGGGTCATTTCTCCACGGTCTGGCTCGCTTGGGATACTCAAAGATCGGTATTTTCCTCTTCTTTTTATTGCTTTTCAGCTTCTCTTTGTCCCTTCTTACTTCTTATGGTAAAAGATTTATCTTTTTTTTTTATATGGAAAGTTGGTTAATCTGGTTAATCATTAGTAAGGTGAATTGTTATTTTAGGGGGGAAATGGGATAGTTTTGGATTTTCTTATGGAATATCTTATTTGAGTGTGTATAAGAACATTGGAAGATGTCATTGTTAAAGATGCTGCAATGGGCATTGCTCTTGGTTAATTGAAGGGTCTTATTTCTGCAGCTAATGTTGTGAAGAGTCCAAGATTTTGCCTCCTTGCAATTGAGCTTCAGATACCCTTCATTTTCCCATCAGAGATAATTTTCTCTTTTTTACATATAGTTCTTTTTTACATATAGTTCTCTTGTTGAGACATATCCATTACGATTCTTGTCACCGTGATTATATATGGTTATGTTACTTGTTTAGGTTATAAGATTCTTTGTTCCTTAAATTTCATCGTAATGTAGAACTGGATCAGCCATCGCCTTTTGATTTCCATGGTTCAACACGTTAACCATATGAGAATTTATTGTTTGTAGCGTTATGTAGCTTTGAAGATTCAAAAGAGTGCTCAGCATTACACCGAGGCAGCAATTGACGAGATAAAGATCCTCAAACAGATAGCTGAGGGAGATCCAGAAGATCAAAAGTGTGTCGTGAAGCTCTTGGATCATTTTAAGCATTCAGGGCCTAATGGGAACCATGTGTGTATGATTTTTGAGTACTTGGGGGATAACCTTTTGACCCTTATCAAATACAGTGATTATCGGGGGGTTCCACTTCATATGGTCAAAGAGATTTGCCGTCATATTTTGACGGGTCTCGATTATTTACACCGTGAACTTTCAATCATTCACACCGATTTGAAGCCAGAGAATGTGTTGCTTTTGTCAATGATTGATCCATCGAGAGATCCTAGGAAATCTGGTGCATCTCTCATCCTTCCGTCTAGGAAGGATAAGGTTGTCCTGGAGACTGTTGCTTCAAAAGAAGTAAAGAGTTCGAATGGAGATTTGACAAGGAATCAGAAAAAAAAAAATCGGAAGAAGGTTAAGAAGGCAGCTCGAGATTGTGTAGGAAACGAACCTTTGGAGGAAACTGAGACAGATTCCAAGACTGGTGGCACAGAAGACACCAATGCTGATGTTAAATCAAATGAAGTTTGTGGTGGACAACCAAAAAATTCTGTGGTTAAAGATGATGCAAGGAGTGATGGAATCAACAATGGTAACCGAGGAAAGGAGAACCATAGAAGGGGGAGCCGTGCAATAAGGAAAAGACTGTTGGCTGAAGCTGATCTTAAATGTAAACTGGTTGATTTTGGCAATGCTTGCTGGATATATAAACAATTTACAAATGATATTCAAACCAGGCAGTATAGATGTCCTGAGGTTATCCTTGGATCCAAGTATTCAACTTCAGCTGACTTGTGGTCATTTGCTTGTATTTGTTTTGAACTGGCTACTGGTGATGTTCTTTTTGATCCTCACAGTGGTGAAAACTATGATCGAGATGAGGTATGCAGAAGCCATTTTACTTTCGTTCTTGCATTATGTTTTAATTCATTGGATACTTAGTCTTGGGTGCCTCTTAATCCCAAGTCCCAACTACAGTGGACCTTGTGGTTATTCATGTATGATGGTCATGCACTATTTGAATTAATATCAGCATCTCCTGTAGGACATTTTACACCGTAGTGAATACTAGACCTCGCATTGCTTGATGCATGTTTATTTTCATTTTAAGATTGTTCTGATTTGCATTCGTTTACATATAAAGTATAGAATAATCCTTACACCTTTACCTCCTTCAAAAAGGACAGGAGAAAATCAATGGTAAGTTTTCATTAGCTTTAGATGTACACTAAATAAGGTTTGCTTCTTTATGTCTGGAGTAAGCTTTCTTTATGTTACAAGCGATGTGACTACCTACTTGTTTCCTATTTTTGCAACGGTGAAAACCATAAGAAATTCTTAGAAATCGAAAGACCACCATAAATTGAGATGAGCCCCACCCTTAATTTTTTTTTCAATATTAATTATGTTGAGTTCTGGAGGCCATTACAGATTTTCTTGTCACCTTTTCCCCTTGACTTACATCTTTCATTTCCAGGATCACTTGGCATTGATGATGGAGCTTCTTGGAGTGATGCCACGCAAGGTATGAATAACACATGCCTTACGAAGGAATGAATTTGTCATCTTCCCTTTGTTTCAAGGGAATGAAGTTAATATTTGAATGTTTTACACCGTAAACCTTGTAGTTTAAGGTATTGTGGTTGTAAATCTCACCGTTTGAGTGTCCAACAATTTTCTCCAGATTGCATTAAGTGGACGCTACTCTCGGGATTTTTTCAGCAGACATGGAGACTTGAAGCATATTCGCCGATTACGTTTTTGGCCTCTCAATAAGGTCCTTATGGAAAAGTATGATTTTAGCGAGCAAGATGCTACAGACATGGCTGACTTTCTCATTCCAATACTTGATTTTGCCCCTGAAAAGAGACCCACTGCTGCTCAATGCCTCAACCATCCATGGATCAGTGCTGGTCCTGGACTGCTAGAACCTTCCGCAACAGTTCATGAACAGTGCACAGATGACAGTACATCTCAAAAGAAAAGGAAAGAGAAGGATGACAGAGAGTCCATGGAGGCTGGAGTGGGGAATATTGCAATCAATGGAAGAGCTTCAAAGCCATCGAAAGAAATGTCTCCGAAGTTGAAATAACCTTCTGAATTTCTTTTCTATTGATTTCTCATGAAATTCTTTCTTCACCGCATTACTTTGCCAAATGGCTGCCTGCTTTTCCTCGTTCATAAAGACATTTATACCATACCAGTTTGAAGTGATCCAGCTTGGGTTGGGGACGGTTTCTTTAGGGGTTGACCCCAGTTTTGTAAGAAGAACATTGCTCATGCACCCCTGAACATTTTCAGGGTGCATGTTGCACCTCAGAACCTTCAAGCCCAAACTGGCTTGAAGGTTTTGGGGGCGTGACACAAGCAAAGGCTCTCATGTTGAATGGATGTAATCCTTTCCCCTTTCCATGTAGATTTAGACTATTTTCTTAATAGAAATTGTGCTTAAAACTTGTAAGATCAAATTGTTCTTTTGGAGATGGTAGTTGATATTGTTTTTGTTGCTACTATTCTTTGATACTCGATATGTACCACTTTGAAAGCTCTGGATGGAATGTTTTCCCCCTTTCCATGTAGAATTTTTAGACTGTTTCTCCATAGAAATAATAGGTGTGATCAAACTGTTCTTTCGGGTATGCATTTGGTTGGAAATATTATGATCCAGTGAATTACAGGATAATTATGATTCTTCTAAGATCATGACACGATATGGATCAATATTTGAACATTTTTTTTAGTATTTGTATTAATCAGCTTTGTATTAGTAGTTTCGCCTGCCAACTTCAAGCAAGACAGCAGTTACAAGGGGAGACAGAAACATGTTCGAAAAAACGACTATAGCTTTTTACTCTCACCCAAATATAATGTATATTTCATAGGGAAAGGAGCCATAATCATCTTTCTTATTTTAGCACATTTCTGCAAATAATGTTTTTTCCCCCCAATTATTTTGGATGATTAAAATAGTCAAGCATTCCCCAATTTTTAAGGTCAGAATTGGTTGAAAATAATCCTGTAAACGTGGTTAAGCTAAAAGTTAGTATAATAAATTAAGCTAAAAGTTAGTATAATAAAATTAAGGGTAAATTAAATATTAGTCATTTAATTATTCCCGATATTATTTTTTAGTCACATAATTATTTTTTTCCTAAAATCATCGTTAAACTTATGCCTTTGTGATCAAAACGAAACAAAAATATAAGTATTGTTATGATATTGAAAAAGATAGTTGAGTTATTAAAATAGAATAACGAAAATAACCGGATGATTAAATAAGTAGTTTACCTTAAAATTAATAATAAACAGTTAGCAATATAGGCGGAGATGATGAAATTAATATAGATTTGGAAGAACTATCACAAGTTTTGAGTTTAGTTTAGCGGTTAGAGTAGATTAAGATCCTGAATTTGATTCCATTTCTTCTCTAATAATAATAATAATAATAATAATAATAATAATAATAATAATTTATTTGTATAATTTTATTCGAACTAACAAAATGTTAACACGGATAAGAAAAAATATATTAAAATTAAATAAAAACAAAATTTGAGCCGATCCAAGACCCGATTGAAACTTGGATATATACATATATATATATATATATATATATATATATATATATATATATATATATATATAACAGATGAAAATTCGAATCAAATTAAAACCCGATCCGACTAACAATACTATCTCCAGCTCTTCTCGACGGATTTTTTTTTTCAAATTTTGTTGCTCCTTTTAGATCAGAAAACCCAACAATATATAGTCTCCTTTTCTTTTAATTTCCAAAATTCATATTTCCATTTTCATGTTAATTTTCAACAGCTCATTTTTGTCTCCATTGTAAATTTGTGATGCCTGGTCGATTTCGCCGTTGCACTTGAAAGGAAATACAAGAGAGAAAGATCTGGAAAATTGAGAGGCAGATCCCAAAGGAAGAAGAAGTGTATCTGATCAGTAAACCGGAATGTCAATGCACGGGATGAGAGGGCTCGCAATTTTCATTAGCGACATTCGGAATTGCCAGAACAAAGAGCTAGAACGCGTACGCGTCGATAAAGAGCTCGGCAACATCCGTATTCGATTCAAAAAGGAAAAGGTTAGGGTGTCCAAGCTATTTTTTCCTCTCTATTTAAATTCCGTGTTTGGAAATGATCGGACTTACTTTTAAGTTTTATGTACCTCTTCGTTATTTTTTTATTTCGTTCGAGAGAAAAACGTGAACTTAGTTAAGCTGTAAAGTCTATGCGTTTGTAAACGCTATAAGTGTTTCGATTTTGGTAGATTATTTACAGCAACCTATTGCAAATAAATTGCGTATATGTTTTTTAGGAAAAGGATGTCTCGTTGATTCATAACAGTAGTAGCAGCTGTTAGAGTGAGGATTTGCGATCTTCATAAGCACTTCCATTTTTCTGCTAACTAAACCTACGCGGTAACCGTATTTTGAAATATTTTATGTAGATTTGCAGTGAGGATTGGATCTCATATCTTAAGAATTCTAAATCTGTATAGTGTAATAGACAGTATTTTGCTAGTTAATCCTGAGGAACTCTTTACAATTTGAGCTCCTGTTAAGGACGTTACATGAAGTAGTGAACCTCTGGAACATTTCTACTGCATGACACTCTGTAGGCAGGGATGTCCTAGCAAACTCTAATCAGATAAGCATATTGCAATTATTAGAAGCATATATTATATATGGTTACAAGCAAATATATTTCATTTAATAAGTTTCCTCACTGCTTAATGAGGTCTTAGACTCATTGTGAAGAGTCAGTTCTCACCAGCTTGGCTGTGAAGGCCAGGAAGATATATATTCATGCAGAACCACGTTTAATGAGCCAAACAGTTGTCAAAATTTTAAAATTGCATCTGTTAGTGAGGATTTATCCTTCAAAGATGAGTTTCCATAAGTTGATGAACCTATCTACCAATCCCATGGCATACTGGAACTGAAAATTTTCTTTTTATAAATCTTTCCACTTGTGATAGTTAGAAGAGGTCCTTGCATTTGATTTTCTTTTATTTGATGTTAGAGCGTCTTTCTCTCCTCTCCATCTCCATCAACCTCCTCTTTTTGGCACTTTTTATGAAGTGCTTATCTGGGCTTTTTCCATTTGCATTTCCTTATTTTGTTCTATGTTGAGGGGAAAAACATTTGGTTCCCAACCTGATGAACATGTCCTTCCTCTCTTACTACTGTTGTTAGTTGAAAAGATTAACTTGTGCTTTAGTATGATTACTGCTAAATTTTACAGTATTTTGTATTTTTTTCCTTCCCAAGTTTTATATTGTCAAACCTTTGAAATTTTGCCTTGTTGAGAAATTTTCTTCCCTTAGTCTGAGTCATATCATCTTACTAGTTTGTCATGTTTGATTTGTAGAGGTTCATACAAATCAGATTCAAACCTCAATAAGAAACATAAATTGAATTTGCTTTTGTTTCACATTGAGTATTTTCTCCTGTTTCCTACATTCTAGAATGATATGTTATACATTCTTTTACGTGAATCTGCATATTTATTTATTAAGTGTTGTTGGGTGAATCTTGGTGGGGTCTCCATCTCCAAGAAAGTAACCTTGTTTTTACATGAAGTTTCTTTTCTTTTTTCCCCTGCTTTCGTAGTTAACTACTTAACTTATTATGGAGGAGTTTAGCTCATTCTTTCATGTGAAATTTAAATGTTAGAGCCTAAATTTTCCAAACACTGCTCATTCCCTCTAGGCCTCTAGAAACTTTTTCATGGAACAATTTAGTGCTTTGGTAATGATGTCTTTTTAGTTTCTTTCCAAGATGAGTGAGCAGTTTGTTATTGAAAGCTTATGTTCTGACAGGGATTGACACCATATGCTAAGAAGAAATATGTTTGGAAAATGCTTTACATTTACATGCTGGGTTATGACGTCGATTTCGGTCATATGGAAGCTGTTTCCTTGATATCTGCACCAAAGTATCCAGAAAAGCAGGTCAGATCCAGTTTTGTTATCTCTTTAATTTGATTAGTGTCATATCCACGAGACATTAAATGGAGAGAAACCTTTTGAACCTGTGCCCTGGAAGTGACATCCTTATTTAAGAGCTCGAAAGAACAGTAAATGAGAAAAGTTGTAAACCAAGGCCTAAAGTCTTTTTTATCATTTCATCCTTTCCCTTTGAGAAAGAAAGACGGAGAGAGGGCCAACAAAACTTGAATGTATAAACAAGATAACTTGTCGAAAGATCTCAGCTATGTTTCAGTAGTTAGAATCTGCACTACCATGAAAGCTTTATTCTTTATATTCATGTCAGTTATTGTTACATGTAACGAGTTTTCTGCAACAGTAAAGCTGGCAAGTGATTGGTTCTTTCTAAGCACTATAGATCGCCATAATTTAGTAGAATATTGATCCTTATGAGTATTTGAATGGGGCTCACAATATCAATTTAACCATGTATTTTGGAAGCCTGGATAATATATGGATACTCATGTAACCTTTTCAAATAATGTAGCTTATTGGGTTTGTTGTAATAATGATATATTATCATGCTCTAAATGGTTGATGTTCAAATCTGCATGTTAACATTTTCTCTACTAATTATTTTTCTCTATGGTTTTCTTAACTTTTGTTCTATAATCGGCTTCAGGTGGGATACATTGTGACATCATGTTTGCTCAATGAAAATCATGATTTTCTGAGACTAGCCATCAACACTGTACGCAATGATATAATTGGTCGAAATGAGACTTCTCAGTGCCTGGCATTAACCTTGGTAAGGATAAGAAAAACTTTTTGAGGTTCTAGACATCATTAATGTAATTAGAATAGGATAGAAGTGTTTGTAATTTATAACATCGAACACCAAACTTACATAATTGAGAGCTTTACAGAACAGGAAGTTTGGGAAGAAATTTCTTCATCAGCTAGTGATAAAGCCCCTGGACCAGATGGTTTTACTATGGGATTTTTCAAGAAGTATTGGCCTATGTTAAAGGAGCAGATTATGAAGTTTGTCTTTGATTTCTATACTGGAAGAAAATGGGACCATGGGGTTAATCATGCATTCATTTCCCTAATCCCTAAGAAACTGAATCCAGAAAGCTTAGAAGATAACATGCCAATTAGCCTTGTTGGCAGTTTATACAAGATCATTTCTAAAGTTCTATCCAAAAGATTGGTTTCTTGTATAAAAGATTTGGTTAGCCCGTATCAGTTCGCATTTATTCCTGGTAGGCAACTTCTTGACTGTGCATTCCTAGCTAATGAAGGTATAGATTATTGGAGGAAGCAAGGTAGGAAGGGGGTAGTCTTCAAAATTGATTTTCGAAGAGTCTATGATACGGTTGAATGGCCGATCCTTCTTAAAGTAATGAAAGCTATGGGTTTTGGGGAGAAATGGGTTTCTTGGATTGAATATTGTCTATCTTCTGCCTCAATTTCGGTTCTAGTAAATGGTTCTCCTACTGAGGAGTTCCCAATGACAAAAGGGTTAAGACAAGGCTGCAGTCTTTCCCCTCTGTTGTTTAATCTAATTGGTGAACTCCTACATCTAATGGTGATTAAAGCTTCTGATTTGGGACTTTTCCAGGGGTTTGATATTGGTAGATCAGCTAATCCTTTCCTTTTGACTCACCTACAATTCGCTGATGACTTGATTCTGTTTTGCCATGACTCTCTTACTAACATTCATAACTTCAAAAGAGTGCTAAGGATTTTCAGTTTAATGACAGGGTTACATTTAAACCTATCTAAGAGTAAATTGTTTGGTATAAATGTTGAAGATGCTACCTTAAATGAATGGGCGAATGATATTGGATGCTCAGTGGGTTGTTTTCCTATAGATTATCTTGGCTTACCTATAGGTGCAAAGAAAAACTCTGAAGTACTTTGGGAGCCGGTTTTACAGAATTTTAACAACAAATTAGCTGGTTGGAAGGCTTATTCATTGTTAATGGCGGGCAGATTACTGCTTATAAAATCGGTATTATCATCATTACCGATTTTTTCTTATCCATATTCAAATGCCGCTCAAAGTAAGGCAGAAAGTTAATACATTGATGGCTCACTTTCTTTGGGGGGAAAGCTCAAACAAAAATCGAATGCACTGGGTTAGTTGGCAGGCAGTTTGTAAACCTTTGGAAGATGGTGGCTTGGGAATTTTGAATTTGAATATTATAAATAGGGCTTTGTTGGGTAAATGGGTGTGGAAATTTGCAAATGAGAAAGATTCACTTTGGAAAGGATGATATGCAGCAAACACAATGCTAGTACTTTTCTCTGTCAATTAGTAACGTTGTTTCGACTCAAGATTCCTGGATTTGGAAAGGAATTGTGAACAATTATATGAAAGATGATGATATTGGAGGATGTTTGAGATCGAATACTAAAACTCAATTGGGAAGTGGCAAGTCGATTTCATTTTGGAATGATGTTTGGGTCAATGACCTACCCCTGAAGATTCAATTTCCCAGGATATTTGCATTATCAAACAATAAAGGGTAAGGTGGCAGATTTTGGTTGCTTTGATGTAATGGATGGGTGTGGAATGTTCAAACAAGAAGAAGCTTATGTGATTGAGAATTGGACCAATGGATCGAACTAATGGCAGCACTAAATTGGTTTAATTTATCTGATTCAATGGAGGATTTTCTTTCTTGGTCTGGGGAAGGAGGATGGTCTGTTCTTGGTGAAATCCTGCAGGGTAGCTCTATCAATTAGTCAAGGAGTTGGTTTTTCTTGGAAAAGATGGGTTTGGTCAGGGTTAGCTCCCCCTAGAGTAGAAACCTTCCTTTGGAAAATCATACATAAGAAATTGGCAGTCAGAAATGAGCTGAAGAAAAGGTGGGTTCCTATGGAAGACGCACTACGTCCACTATGTAAAATGAATGAAGAAACAATCCAACATCTTTTTTTCTCATGTTCAGTTGCAGGGGATATTTGGAACAGAATGTTGAAGATTTGGGGCATCTATACAGCTTTGCCTAATGATCCACATGTTTTGCTAAGTTCATGGTCTGATCTAAATAGAAAATCGAACATTTGGAAATTCATTCTGGGAGTAGTTCTTTGGTCTATTTGGAAAGCTAGGAATTCAGTAGTGTTTGATAATTCTAGCCTTGATATAACCTCTCTCTTTTTCCTAATAAGATTTAGGTTGGCTAGATGGTTTCTAGCAAAGTTTCCTAATATCCAAATACAAGTTGATTTGTTGGTAGGGGACTCCTCTTTAGCAGACAGGTTTGGTTACCAGAATACACACAGGAGTTCGAAACAAAGTTGGCAGCCTCCCCCTATAGACTTTTATAAATTTAATGTTGATGGGGCTGTCAAGTTTGATGGGATGGAGGGAGGAATTGGTGGTATTTTGAGAGATTGTAATAGCATCATCCTATCGACCTTCTCTGTTAGTATTGGTCCAGGCCCTCCTCTGTTGGCTAAACTAAAAGCTATTAAGAAAGGCCTAGACGTTTTTCTATCATCAGATTGGGCGGTAAAGGGAAGATTGATCTTAGAAAGTGACTGTAAATCTGCTGTAGACTGGATTCTGTTCCTAGTTTCTTCAGTTCACTTGTTGAGGATATTGTGTCCTTAGTTCAAGAGAGGGCGGTTATTATTCGATGGATTCCTAGGGGGATGTAATTGGGAAGCAGATAAATTAGCTAAGGGTGGGATTGGTTGATTGTAAGGATATTTTTATAGGGTGTTTTAAGATTATAGTTTTATTCTGATGGCCTAAATGTATTGGTATAATTTATTGTAATAGTTTCTCTATTCAATAAACTAAGGCACTCTTTTCCTCCTTTCGATAGTTACTCTTTCCAAGAGTTAACTATGAGGGAGGTTTTTAATGAGGCCTATTATTCCTATAAAAAAAAAGAATTTTCTTTTTCTCTTTTCTCAAGGGGAGTTCATTTTCACTTACCCAAATATTATTCATCACTTTATGATTTATATTGTAGCTCATTATTTGGATCTGCAACAGGTGGTTATATTACTATGATTTTGTTGTTAATCAAATGCCACCAAGGAACTCCGTTTTCTATTGCTTTGGCCTCGGATGTTGCGTTATAGTCTGTAAAGTTTTTAGTTATTGATGTTCTGGTTACACTTTTGTTACCTTTTGTTGGGCTGATTTTTTGGACGCCTAAGGATTTCCATATTGCTTTTGTTCAGGTTTTTGATATTGTTATTCTTTTATAAAATTATTTTACACTTGCTGAATCTATGTTTCAGCTGTCTAGCAGCTGCAGACCACTTGTACGGAAAAAAGCTGCATTATGTTTACTGCGATTGTTTAAGAAAAATCCAGATGTTGTCAATGTCGATGGCTGGTATGCTAGAATGTTAACAATTTTATCCCAATTGACTGTTTTTTGATATTAAGATGTGCTTCTGCTGAATTACTTTTCTTTCCCTATGTTTTAGGGCGGATCGGATGGCGCAGCTTTTAGATGAGCGTGATCTTGGTGTTTTGACAGCTTCTATGAGCCTTCTTGTTTCTTTGGTATCAAATAATCATGAAGCTTATTGGACTTGCCTTCCAAAGTGTGTCAAAATATTGGAACGCCTTGCAAAGAACCAAGATGTTCCACAGGAATATACTTATTATGGTATCCCATCTCCCTGGCTGCAGGTTTGCCCTACTTCATTTTTATAACTCCTATGAATTTGATGCTTATATCAGAAATAAGTCATGTGCCTGGTCTAATTTGTGTTTATAAGTTTGTTTCAATTGGATCTTGTTCCCTTGGATATGTTTGCACTTGGGTATATGGTAATTGTGTCCAATTCTTTCCCTTGTTTTTCCTATCTGTATGTTAGAGTTGATGACCTTGTTTATCAGTAATTGTCATTGACTCATATTTGGTAGATTTTAATTTGTTGTTATCGTTCTGTTATAATAGGTTAAGACAATGAGGGCTCTTCAGTATTTTCCTACCATTGAAGATCCAAATACGAGAAGAACATTATTTGAGGTTTAAACTTCCCTGTATAGTTTTTGTTTTTTGTTAAGGTTATTTTGATATTAATGGAACTTGAATTGGCTGATTTCAGGTCCTACAACGTATATTAATGGGAACAGATGTTGTGAAAAACGTTAACAAGAATAATGCATCACATGCTGTCCTATTTGAAGCCCTTGCCCTTGTGAGTTTACTTCTGAATTTTGGCTCTAGCATGTGATATTTATTATCAAAGACATTTTTTTGGCATTAAGTGGTTTTAGAAAGATCGAGTCTGTCAAGCTCAAATAGACATTAGTATGAAAATCTTGCTGAAACTCATCAAAATAGGTTTTTAGGTGGGTCTCTTGTCTTCTATCCCATGAAAAGACATAGTATGCGCCTTTTTAGCTTTCATCTGTTCTTTCCTGCCCTGGTGTAGATATGAAATAGAAGTATATGGATGATAACACCCTTACTCTGCACATGCACATGAGGAAAGAAAAGCATAGTGGTTTCGAGAGTAACTTATCTTATTTCTTGCCTCTTTATGACATATTTCTAGCTATTAGTTTACCCCTCTTCTGATTCCTCTATGCATGTAGATCATTTAAAGTATATAACTTAATACCCAACTCACTATTCTTCTTTACTAATCATGTTCAAGGACTTCTTTCTGAGTTGTGTTGTACATTTGCACTCCTTATTACAGGTCATGCATCTTGATGCTGAAAAGGAGATGTTGTCTCAGTGTGTTGCCCTTCTTGGGAACCTCTTCTGATTCCTCTATGCATGTAGATCATTTAAAGTATAAACTTAATACCCAACTCACTATCTTCTTTACTATCATGTTCAAGGACTTCTTTCTGAGTTGTGTTGTACATTTGCACTCCTTATTACAGGTCATGCATCTTGATGCTGAAAAGGAGATGTTGTCTCAGTGTGTTGCCCTTCTTGGGAAATTCATTGCTGTTCGCGAACCAAATATTAGATATCTTGGTTTGGTAAGTTATGGAAATATAACTACTTAGTTCTCCTTGAATGATCTTGCTAGCAGACAAGAGATTATGTTTGCATGTGCCAGATCGGGGTGGTTATATTTAACCTATGATTTACTTATAGATTTTAAATGCTTGGTTGCAGGAAAATATGTCTAGGATGCTAATAGTTGCCGATGTGCAAGAGATAATAAAAAGACATCAGGCACAAATTATCACATCGTTGAAAGATCCTGATATCAGGTTGGGTTTTTTATTTCGCAATTTTTTAAGTATTGATTGCACTTAAATTGTTATTGCTATGATTATCTTCTGTGAACTATTTGTATACAGGCTCAAATTTATGTAACTTGAGTTGGCGCCATCTAAGACATGCCAAGTGTTCCTTGCTTGAAAATCACCTTGTATAGTTCTCTTGTTATGAGTTACTCATCTGACCAGTTAAAATGACAAGTTACCCACTTGATTCAAGACTTAAACCTTCATCTGTACCTAAAGCCTTGAATTTCTAAACATGGAACTATATGTGCTCCGAATTGTATATTCATAAGATCCATTTTCTTTGACTAATGCCAGTGTGAATTTTCCAGTATCTGTAGGCGAGCTCTTGATTTGCTTTATGGTATGTGTGATGTAACAAATGCAAGGACATTGTTGAAGAATGTTGCAGGTGCTAAAGTCTTGAACATGGAAAAACTATTACTTTGATTCCTCAAATAATTTATTTACTATATAGCTACTCAAATGCTTAGGTATGAGATGAGAATGTTGCTGACTGTCATCTCTTTACCAGTATCTGAGCTCAGCTGATTTCAAAATGCGTGAGGAATTGTCACTCAAAGCTGCCATTCTTGCTGAGAAGTTTGCTCCTGATCTGTCATGGTAAGCATATTGGATGGAAGCAGGGTACTAACGCATATGCTTAATAATGAAGAATTTCTACCTCAGTGTTTTCTTCTCTTTTGTGTACAGTAGCTTCATCAAATGATTGGTTGTTATTCCGTACAAAATAACTAGTTTGCTTAAACATTCCAGGTATGTAGATGTGATTCTTCAGTTGATTGAAAAGGCAGGAGACTTCATTAGCGATGACATATGGTTCCGTGTTGTGCAGTTTGTTACTAACAACGATGACCTACAGGTGATCAAAAAGTCCAACACATTTAGTTGTGCTACATTATAACAGAAAGAAGATATTCTTCTTTTGGTGGTTTTCAGGCTGAAATGTTCATGTTTATGACCAGACTTATGCAGCTGCAAAGGCGAAAGAGTATCTTGACAAGCCCGCTGTACATGAAAAAATGGTTAAGGTTCGTATAATTTATAGTTCTTTGTTTCAGGATGAGTTTGCAGGAATGGAGACAGTATGGTACATATTATAGACAGAGATTTGTAAGTTTATTTCTGTATTTGTTTGTACCGAACAGCTCTGTGCTTATATTCTTGGAGAATACAGCCACCTTCTGGCTAGACGACCTGGGTGTAGTCCGAAAGAAATCTTTAGCATCATACATGAGAAGCTTCCTACAGTAAGGTAAGAGCCTTTTATCATTAATTCTCCATGTTTCATAAATACTTATTCTCTATTATTTGAGTGTCTTACTATAATGCATGTCACATTTCAGAACTACTACCATTCCTATTCTTCTATCAGCTTATGCTAAGATCTTAATGCACACTCAGCCGCCTGATCAAGTACTGCAGAATCAAATTTGGGCAATATTCACGAAGTGAGATTTAGTTTAGCATAATTTTCTCTCAAGTTGCTCAACATTTCATCTATAGTTTGTTTGAAATTTTAAAATTTTTGGTTTTATATTCATCAAACTAATGTGATTTGTTCAAAACACTTTTGTAACTGTTAACTTAGATATGAGAGCTGCATTGACGCGGAGATACAACAAAGAGCTGTTGAATATTTTGCATTGAGTCGGAAAGGTGATGCTCTAATGGATATTTTGGCTGAAATGCCTAAATTTCCTGAGCGTCAGGTTTGTGTAATTTGCAATATTTGTTTAGAAACTGCCCGCTCTAGTTTCAAGTTGCTGAGGTATATGCATATTCTTGATTCGGGTGATGACTAAACTATGCTCTTGTCCTCAATTTACAGTCTTCTTTGATAAAAAAGGCTGAAGATGCTGAGGGTGACACTGCAGAGCAAAGTGCCATCAAGTTGCGTGCTCAACAGCAACCATCAAATGCTTTAGTTGTAACTAAACACCCTGCTAATGGGGCACCACCACCAGTTTCTGTTGGCCAGCTTAGTGTGGTTAAAGCACCCACCATGGATAATACTGAGGTTAGTTCTTTTGCAATCCTAGTGGCTTCTTGTTTTCTAGGTTTCTGATATACTAGTTGCTATTGCCACACTCATTGAACATGTATATCTTTCTTCTCTTTATGGTTTTTTTACAAATCCATTTATACATTAAACATATGATTGCATATGTTGTTTGCAAATAACTGAAACATTTTTCCATAAACTTGTTTTGACATTCATATAATGATTACATTGAATTAGAATTCTTTTGGATTGGATAAATCTTATTAATCAAATATTTCAGTTAATGGGAGTCTTTTAATGGAAATATAACATTATTTATCAAATTGGATAAGTTTTGTTGATATAAATATTTGAAATGGTAATGTGGAAATACAATAATAAAAAAATTGTGTCCGTTTAAAAGTATTTCAGTCTGTTCTTTACATTATAGGTTATATATATATGTATACAGATTTGTGTAGCTATTATTGTTAGGTCTTATTATCAGTAATATACACTTCATTATCTTGGCAGGATCATAATTCAGTAGAGCAAGCTCCTCAGGATAATGTAAATATAAGCAAAGTAGATCCACAAGCGCCTTCGGCAAACCTCCTTAGTGATCTTCTGGGTCCACTGGCTATTGAGGGCCCTCCTGGTGCTGCTTTTCAGTATGAGCACAATGCAGCCCTTGGATGGGATAGTAGTCCAGATGCTTCAGCCATAGTACCTGTAGGAGAGGAGACAAATACAATTCAGGTACCACTTTCCAAACACAAGCTACATGTTTGGTCATTGTAAAATTACATGTGATTCTAAGTGGTTCTGTATTGTTATTAGTTTCATTAGCTGATTTTACTACTTGCATCTGCAGCCAATAGTAAATATCGATGAAAGATTTTGTGCTTTATGCTTGAAAGATAGCGGTATTCTATACGAAGATCCTTACATTCAGGTACAAACGTCTTACTTTTCATATTCCATATTTGTTATCTTTTATTTTCTATTATTTCCTGAGGTTAAACTCTAGGATACTAATTTGGTTTTTCAAGTGGTTTTATGACTCCGGGGTCGAATTGATGTGTCTTGGTAGGATAGATATATGCACTTTGACAAAAGTGTAGTGAGAGAAGTTCCCGCTTCTCTCTAGGGCCCAGGTGTTTTTAAATTTAAAAGTGTTGTCTCATTCGTCTGTTGCCCGCTGGCCGCTGCCGCCGCCCGCCGTCTGCCGCCGCCGTCAGCCGTCCGCCGCCACACTCTGACCACCGTTTGACGCCGCTTTTTCCTAGGATGGTCGTCTGCTCACGGTGAATACAGATCTGGACTTGCATTTGCGAAATACGCTGTCTTTAGTCGCAGATCTACACTCGTCCTCTGCAGATTTTCGAAGCCTCCAGCCGTCCGAGTTCGCCTCCGCCACTCAACCCAGCGCAGTGCCTAAACGTGACCTAATCCCGTCTTCTTGTGTCGAGCAGTGGTGTACAGCTGAGTATTCACCATGGAACCCCAACCCACGTCTCAACCCAGCCAACTTCGAGGGTTTGACTCAGCTGGTGCGGTGGCTGCTTCCTCCGTGAGGCCTCCTATTGTTCCTCCTTCATCGACTAGGAGTTCTCATCTCCCGCTTGAACCAGACTGCCGTGTTGCAGCTGGTGATTTCCCCTGGAGTCTGCCAAGGAATTAGAAGCGAAAGTGAAGGCTCTTAAAGCATTAGTGGCAGAGTTGAATAAGCGGGTTAATGATTTAAAATGAAGGAAATGCAGTTCCACGAGGCAGTCTTCTCAAGAAATCTGGATCCGCTGGTGCAGCCTCTTCATCTTACTCCGGTAAGGACAATCGTAAAATTGAGAATGAAAAGGAAAGGACAAGGTTACGGAAACCGCAAAGAAGTTTTTACCAGACGCTTGTTGGCCGGATTGAGACAGTTTGGTAACTTCTCTATTCCACCGAATGCTGCTAAGAACGATGTTTTGGCAGCCTTGGCACGTGAGCGGGTTGGATAGTTGAGTCCGACGGCACCACTTACAGACACTCTCCTTCAACCAAATCAACAAAATTCGGGATCATTTTCGGCGAGGTCGGGTGAAAGTCCACTATCATCCAGTCCTTTGAAGAAATGCTCACAAGAAGCGAAACATAGCAACGGAAAGCTGTCTTTTGTTCACGCAACACCAACGCTTCCAGTCGCTAATGTTGATCATGGTGGTGCCAAGGAGATCTATTCGAAAGGGTATTCCGATGCAAAATTTTCCGAAGTGGAGATTTTCGTACTGGGGTCAGAAAGGATTGTTACACGATTTTTTATCGAAACCTTCCAGAAGATCCATTGGAAGAAACTGGATCCATATTTGGCTCACATGGTCAAGTTATTGATGCCTTCTTCCCAAAAAAAGAAACTCGAATGGGGTTCGTTTTGGGTTTATTCGCTTTGCTACAATTGAGAAAAGCAAGGACATTTCTAAGAATGGTTATCATATTTACGGCACAACAAATTAGAGTCTCTTTGGCTAAACATAAACCCCGACAGTCTTACTGCGAAAGTCCTCGAAAGTTGTTCATAGTAAGTCGGGGCTGGAAGTTTTTCCGACGATTAAACACTGTGAAGTTGAGGGTGTTGTGGACGCAGATAAACTTCATGTGTTGTCTAACTGTCTTGTGGGGTGGTGCAAGAACTTTATCAAGATTGGTAATCTTGCTAACCAAATACAAGCCAAAGGACTAGCGGGTTTCACGCTTATGAGAGTTGAGGGTGTTGTGGACGCAGATAAACTCATGTGTTGTCTAACTGTCTTGTGGGGTGGTGCAAGAACTTTATCAAGATTGGTAATCTTGCTAACCAAATACAAGCCAAAGGACTAGCGGGTTTCACGCTTATGAGAGTGCTGGAAACGTAGTTCTAATGGTTTTTGAAGATTCTAATTCGTTGAGATGCGTGAAGGATGAAAAGTTAGAAACTCTTGCAGAATGGTTTCCAGAGTGGAAACTTGGTCTGAGAGCCTTGTGGTGGAGAGCGGCGCGTTTGGCTAGTTTGCGAAGGTATTCCTTGTCACGCTTGGAATTGGGATACTTTCAAAACATAGCTACTAAGTGGGGCAAGTAATAGCAATCGATAACAGTTGTGAGTTCCCTTCGTCTTTTGATCGGCTAAAATCAAATACTCACAAATGCTCAAGTGAGAATTAATGAGTTGTTGGAGTGAAGGTCGGGGATCTTTATTCAAAATCTGGTGCATGAAGTTGATCTTCCTTCAAACCTAATTCTTGGGTTCCTGAAGATTGCGATATTTCTTTAGAACTTGATCCTCCAATTGGGTTGTGATTTTCGGCTGCTGTATTCAGAGGCGTTTTAAGTTTGTGGTTGTAATTGTTGGTTTTTTGTTATGTTATCTTACATTTGAGGTGATTAGGGGCTTTTTGGTTGACGATGTAAGATTTCTAGGTGATATGGGTATTGGTGTTTATTCCCGCATGTGGGTTTGGTGTTACCTCATGTACTTAAAATTATATTTAATAAAATATGAGGCACTCATTTCTCCCTTCCTTGTTCTTCAACATACTTCTAAGTATGTGGAAGAATACGAAGGGAGTTTTTAATGAGACCTCCAACTTCTATAAAAAAAAAGTGGTTTTATGACTCCATTAGAAGCTTCGTAAAGCCTGATGCTGATTTTCTCACTAAAAATTACTTCAGATTGGCATCAAAGCAGACTGGCGAGCTCATCATGGACGTCTTGTTCTTTTCTTAGGAAACAAGAATACATCTCCTCTCATTTCAGTTCAGGCTTTGATATTGCCTCCTGCTCATTTGAAGATGGAGCTTTCATTAGTGCCTGACATCATACCTCCTCGAGCACAGGTGAAAAGACTCATTGTGTTTGTAACTAGTTACATGTTGATGCTTACTAATGAATTTTTGTCATCTCGTCCTTCAATTTCTTTTATATCATCATATTTATTCTGCTTCCTTTTCATGGTTTCTGTAGGTGCAATGCCCGCTTGAGGTTGTAAATCTTCAGCCAAGCAGGGATGTATCTGTTCTTGACTCCTTTTTTATCCCATACCTACGTGTATAATAATGTAACATGTGTAGTATATAATGAGTCTTGTTCTGTGCATTCTAGTTTATATCTTCATTTATACTCAAGTTTATTCTCTCCGCTTCGCTCGCTGTCTGATCTGCTGTCATTTTGCTCCAAATACGGGCAGGTTAGAGGTGTAAGACCAATGGCTCTTCCGGAAATGGCAAATCTACTCCACAGTTTTGGACTAATGATTTCTCAAGGGCTTGTAAGTCCTTGCTGTTGAGTAATATCTTCTGCCCATTTATATATGCATGATTCACTGTTCGATTTTCTGTCCAGGATCCAAATCCTAATAATCTAGTTGCCAGCACAATCTTCTGCTCGGAGAAAACACATGGCATGCTCTGCTTGGTAGGAAACATGTTCTGTTCAAGCTATATGTGGCTGTTTATTGTACTAAATTTGTTTCGAAATTACCCGCTTGTAAATCTTAGCTTGCCTTTATAACTGAATTTCATTTATAGAGAAACCGAGCCTTGTTGGTCTTACAACTTGCAGTTATGGAAATTATCCATGAGCTTGTAGTTCATTAGAATCTGTGGAATGTTGCTGCCTGCTTACAAGCCTTTTCTTCTGTAATATTCAGGTCAGAATTGAAACAGATCCTGCGGACAGAACTCAGTTGCGTATGACACTTGCTTCAGGCGATCCTACATTAACATTCGAGTATGTAGCTGCATTTTATCCAAAGAAGTTAATAGTTTGATTGGATTGTCAGAATTTTCTTACATTTTTACCTACAGGATGAAAGAATTCATCAAAGAACAACTGGTTAGCATTCCTACAGTTCCTCTGGCACTGCCAGCACCTCCTGCAGCTCCTCCGACCCCCCAAATACCATCAAGCGATCCCGCTGCACAACTTGCTGGTTTGCTATCATGAAAATAAAGAGGACCGAACTCGAAGATTTGTTGAATATACACTTTAACAAAACTTGATTTTAACAGCCGGCACACACCCACTTTCCCCTCTGAAGCGTATACAGTTAAATCCCAGTGCGAGGGCTGGCGGAAGCAAAGATCAGGTTAGCAAAGAAGGGCTGATCTAAATTTTGTGATTCTTCACGAGTATATTGCACCTTGGTGAGTTTTTTTCTCTGCCTCTTTTTAGTGTCTTGTGGGAGAGAGGTTTCTTGTTTTTCCTTTTTTTAAATTTTTTTCTGTTATCCGATTTCTTACCCTTTTTACCAGATCGGTTTATTTCGAACTATGTCGCAGTAGCATGTAAGATATGGAATGAAAAGTAGAATGGTTTGTAAACAATGTATTGGTTTTCTCAAATCCAAATATATCAAGATCTCTTGAATAAGATGTAGTGGTCAAATTTGGTAAAGTATTTGAACATTATCATGTGATGGATTCATGAGATTTTGTTGCCATCAACATCTCATTTTATGTATTGGCTTTGCTTTTTCATGATTGTTACATCTCGTATTCTTAAAAATATGTTAATATTGTCAATTTTTCCCGCTCAATAACATGTTGAAATGGGACAACAAATTTAAATGATGTTTTTTTTTTTAATTAATCATTAGTATCCGATCTATTGATCGACTAACTTAGATTGGGTATTATAGAGGCGAGGGTGACCTTCCCAACTCAGTTTGCTCTATTCAAGTCAGGATTCGAACCCTTACTTTGCTTAAGGAATCTAGTGTCTCATCTCACTAGACTAACTGGTTATAGGGATGGTAACGAGTCCGGTTGGGTCGGGTTTTTGGTCAACCCGACCCGACCCGACCCAAAAAAATATGTATGCTCCATCTAAATCCGACCTGAAAATATATGTTCTCTACCCAATTCAATTTTTTATAGTATAATAATAAATTTTTAAAAGAAATATATTATTATCCCTGGGACGTGTCGGATCGAAGTTTTTTCGTCCTCCATCCGAACCTGACCTGACATAAACTCAAATTTAAAAAAAAAATCCGACTCTATTTGATCGGGTTGGATTGAAACCATAGATTTTGGGTTAAATTAACCATCCTAACTGGTTGTCGGTAAACTAAATCATGTCTTAATACGATGATAAGAGCCGTTATTGGATTTGACATGCTTAAATGTTTAATATCTTTTATTTCTTTAATTACATTCTCTTTTTTACATTTATATTTATCAAACTCAATCTAATTATATTGAAAATTTATTTTTAAACCAATACCAAACATATTTATAACTCAATTTAACATTTAATTTAACACTATTTTTTAAAAAGATTTATCAAACAAAACTTAAATCATTCTTTGAGTATGTAATAAAAAACGCTAATTATGGCATAATTATGGCTTATAGAACCAAAAAGTGCGTTTACCAAATGTGGGACTAAGGCAGCATTTTACCACTAAATGATAAAGCCAATTAAAAAAATGTGGGGTTTTTATGTCTGATTTAGTTGGACTCTCAGACCACATTTGGTCTGATTGTATGTCTAAAGGTAACATATACATGTCACCAATTCACATTATAAGAGTTATTACTGATGAAGTTCTGTCGGCATAAATTCTATATGATTTCTTCCTAATTGATTACCACATTTTCTGGTATACCAAGCGAAAGCAAGGCAAACTAATTTATTTTTATAGAATATACTATTTATTAAACAATTAATTTAGATAAAATATAATAAAATTAATATTGCATAGTCGTTTATTTCAATCTAATTTATTTCATTCATAAGATCAGAATTTGAACTCAAAATAAAAATATTGTTTAAGAGATCTAATGTATTATCCCGCGAAACTAAATGATAATTTATTAGGGAAATACTTAATTTATATTTTGTACATTTTTAAAAAAAATTAAAAAATAAAATAAAAACAGTAAAAGAATGTCCATATTTGCTAAAACTATGCAATTTGGGGGGAAGAAAAAATAATATGAAAATAATATATAATATTTAAATTAATCAGATTCTTTTTTATTTGTAAATTAGAGGTTATTGAGTATTTAAATATATTTGATTTACCATTCAAAAGATGTGTTATAAACCACCTACAAAATATAAAACTCTTTTAGTTTTACACAAATTTACAATCGTTGGATGAGTAAAAATAGATGACTGAGATTAACTCATTATTTTTTTTACAATTAATATCTTCTCATTTCCTATTGTTAATCTCAATCATCTATTTTCACTTATCCAACGATCCTAAATCTGTGTAAAATTAAAAGAGTTTTACATTGTGTAATAAGATCATATCTCTTTCAAATATATATATATATTTGATCTCATATCTTTTATATAACGTATTAATGATAATGTCAATTTAATTAAATACTCCCTTTGTCCCATAAATTTTAAGCTTTGACTATGATTATTTTAAATAATTAAATTTTATAAAATCTATATTTAAAAACTACTTGATTTAAAGTTTTAAAAATATAATTTTTTATATTTTTATTAATAATATTTTTAAATAATAATGAGTCAAAATTAAAAAAATTAACAATAAACATATTTAATGGGATAGAGAAAGTATAATTGAATATTATCCCTCATGTTTATGATAAATAAGAAAATAAAAGTGGTGAATTCCCTTAGAGAAAGGAACGTGAGCCAAACCATTTTCATGAAATATGTTGGTGAGAGGAGACAAAAAGTAAGGCTCACACCGCTCTAGGCTCAACACGCCACCCTTGCCAAACCATTTTCATGAAATATGTTGGTGAGAGGAGACAAAAAGTAAGGCTCACACCGCTCTAGGCTCAACACGCCACCCTTCCATAATCTCCCATCCCATTATTGTAATTATATGAATAATATAAAACTTACTAACTATTCATAAAAATAATATTTCATAGGCTAAACTACCTATTTAATCATCTATTTATTTTTATTTCTATTTTAGTCACTTTATTATTATTATTTTAAAACTATATATAATATTATGTTTGGTTTTTATTTTGGTCATCATACTAAATAATTTACGACGATACTAACGTAACATAGTGTGATAATTCTTTTATAATTTTCATATCTTTTTTCTCTTTTATCGTCAATATTTTTAGTTAATTTATTTTATAAAACTAATATAGTACTACTTAAATATTTATTTTGGTGAAATATCTTTTTTCTCTTTTATCGTCAATATTTTTAGTTAATTTATTTTATAAAACTAATATAGTACTACTTAAATATTTATTTTGGTGAAATAATCATAATATTTATTTTTGAAGTATTTTTTCATTGTATTACATAAGCGGTGACTCACCTAATTGGTCGAATAAAGTCGATTGAAAATTCTGATGGTGAAAAAGAAAAGTGATGTAAAAATTAAAAATTTAAAAAAACGCCACATCTTATTATTTCAACAACTCAACATCATCGTTTTCTTTATCTAGGAGTTATTAAAACAAAAATAAATCATAATCTTAGATATAATTTAAAAAATAATAATAGTTGGGTGATAAAAAATGTGAAAATATCTGAATGACTAGATAGAAATTTACCCTATTTTATATTATATGATATGTAAGTATATTAATATCATAATAATATCTAAGCATATTAATATCAAACTCAAATGACATTAATTTGATTGTCTTGTAAATTTGTTCTTGTTTTATATCTAAGATTAAATATTGATAGGAATTTACAATCACTAAAGATAAGTCACGATTAAATTATAGTAGGCCAATTTGTCTATGAATCATCATTTTTATATGTATTTTTATATTAATGTTAATGTTGTTTATCATTTGTCGTCGAAAAGAATATTTATCTGTTTTTATCATTTATTTGAGTTATTTGGTTGAATTTTTAAATCTTGTATGATATTTTCTTATTCTTAGGTATAAGTTTTTACACTTTAATGTTTTTTTAATATCTAACCTATATAATTAATTTACTCTTATTTTTTAAATTCTTTTTATAATTTTGGTAAATATTTTTATTTAATAAAATTAATGGTTACTATTATACCTAACAAATTTGACCCGTACCGATTACTCGAATTGACTTACTCGATCTGATATTTGATATAGACGTGAACAAGATTACCCAAAATTAATTCGAAACTCGAAAATAACCCGATCGAACCGAAATCAACCTAAATTTTAGTTGGACCGAAAACAATTCGAATTGAAATTAACCCGAACCGAAAGCAACCAAATTTAGTTTATCCACATCCGATCCGAACCAAAATTCGACACGATTTTAACCAGATAATTGAGTCTAAATGAATGAATAATTTATTTATTATTATCTATTTTTAGCATTGATAAACATTAAAACGATGTATGTTTTATTCTCGTTTTATATAATATTACTAGTTAACCATTGCTTATAGTAATAGTTTAATAGTTCAATATAATATTTACTGAGTTAAAAGATTATCTTTATATCTGATGAAATAACTTCTAACTCTGAATTTGAATTGAAAATCTAATGGTCCGAATTGAAAATCTAATGGTTGACCCGAATCGATACGATATTGACCCAAGTCGAAGCCAACTGGTTTAATTTTGACCTAACCCGAATTGAATTTTCATACACTCTAACTAAACTCGAACCAAATCCGATCCGATCCAAACCGAACCTAAACTAAAGTAGTCTAGATTTAAAATGACCCTATCCGAACCCGATCCGAATGATCCGATTGCCGCATATACTTACTATTAATTAGAAAAAGTGTTTTTAGTAATAAAAGTGAGCTCTGGAGTTGAGACTAAACTGCACCAACTCCTATTTTAACACCGTTATGCATGCAAATTAACAGGGTTGCTAATTAACGCAATAAAAAAAAGTGATGAAAACGACAAGAAGTATTAGGTTTGCAACACTTGACCTGATCGAGTGCCATAATTGTTTGATTGTATGAAAATACAAACATGCTTGGAAGAAAACGAAATCATTTTGTACATTACAAACCACTCTTGCTTAACCAATCAAACAAGATTAGTCCCCTGTTCTATTTTTTTTTTGTAATAATTGGTTAAATTGCTTATGATATTGGTGTGATGGATGATAATATATTTGTTTTAAGATCTGAAAGTAGATGTAATGAATTATAAGAATTCAAGAGATTTAAGACATTAGTAAAGGGCTGGGCAATGAATTCGTTTACGGCACCTCAATCAACATCCGTGGTTAAAGGAGAATATTACTCTTTTAAGAGATTTTAAGTGAGAACAATTACGTCTGTACGATATATGCATTGTTGGGTTCAAACAGTTGTATCTATAAATTATATAGATTAATGATGATATTAATATTTTTCATTAATTCTATATAATTTTGATTGATATAATAATAAATTTAATTTTCAACATTTATAGATTAAGTCAATTTGATTTTAATTCTCAAAATTTAATTAACTTAACCCTCAATATTTATAGATTATACCTCAATTTATAGAACCCAAAACTTCTACGAAAAACAACTCTCTCTTACCACTAAGGTTGTTCAATGAGTTCATTTATTGCTCACTTTTGAACATGATATATACTAAATTACACCATTTTTTTAGATACTTAAATTGCATTTTGCCCTATTTCTTTATCAATGCCTATGGATACTTAATTGAGAATTGTGAAAAACTTGTCCCTGAAAGGAAATTATACCCAATTCGATTCTGAAACATAATTGAGAATCTTGGGAGTAGTAAGAATTCACATATCATAATTGCAGCAGTTAATGTTATGAGATTTCATGGTAACCAAATCAATAGGAGAGAGAGAATTAATTGAAGTCCAAATAGGACCAAAATCCGAGTATAAAAACACCCCCACTTCTCTCTCCCTGTTATCTTCTGCCTCACATTATTCTCCATTAATTTTCTCAAAGTTTTCATCTCAATTTACATATGAAACAAAACCCAGATTTCCCTTCACATTGTTAAGAAGAAACAGTGGGAAAGATTCTTTTTTATGCCCTTTTCCCCTCTCTCTTTTGTGAAACAGAAAGCAGAGATGGCTCAAATCTCACCCAAGCTGTTAATTCCAGAGTCATTTCAAGTGTCTCGAGACGACATAATGGGGCAATTCAGTTTAATATGGGAACTCATCAAAACGCCATTGATAGTCCCATTACTGAACCTCTGCGTCTACGTTTGTCTAGCTATGTCGCTCATGCTCTTCATGGAGCGTGTTTACATGGGTATCGTCATCATCCTCGTCAAGCTCTTCTGGAAAAAACCAGAGGAACGTTACAGATACGAGCCCATCCAAGACGACGAGGAACTCGGCAGCTCGAATTTCCCCGTCGTCTTGGTCCAAATCCCAATGTTCAATGAAAAAGAGGTTTACAAAATCTCGATTGGAGCTGCCTGTGGACTTTCATGGCCGGCGGATCGTCTCGTCATACAAGTGCTCGATGATTCGACTGACCCTGCAATCAAGGTAAAAAAACAAACAAACTAGTCTCCATCACCATTGTTTTTAGATTCGAAATGCATTGGACAAAGCTGGATTCTTAAAAACAGATGCTGGTGGAGCAAGAATGTCAAAGATGGGCGAGCAAAGGGATAAACGTGACATATCAAATAAGGGAGAACAGGACAGGTTACAAAGCGGGAGCATTGAAAGAAGGGTTGAAGAGGAGCTACGTGAAACACTGTGAGTATGTGGCCATTATCGATGCTGATTTCAGACCGGACCCTGATTTTCTCCGACGGAGCATACCGTTTTTGGTCCATAACCCCGACGTTGCTCTCGTTCAAGCTCGTTGGAGATTTGGTACACACCCTGAAATCTTGTCATCGTTTAATTACAGTTCTTTTGTTATTACATTTGAGTGTCGGTGGTCGTAATTCGTAAAAACATTTTTTATTTTTGTTTATAATTGGTCTTAAGATTTTGGGTTTTCCAGTTTCTGTCGGCTGAGTGGTGGGTCGAGCTCGAGGGAAAGAAAATGCACCAATCACGGGTTGGGACCCACTGCACTCTTGATCAGCCTTTCATCACAGTTTATAGAATCTACTTGCATTCATGTTGGATTTAGATTGAATTTAGAGTCAAATTAAATCAAATTCTTAACCTAAGTTTAAATTAAAATCGAGGAACAAATTTATCAATCTTCATAAGTATAGAGATAAAATTTAATGACAATTTGTGTATTTTATCCTAAAATTTGATTTGTTTGGAGTTAATTAGACATTCCAATTATTGAAAAAGTTGTGGTGTTTGTAGTGAACGCTGATGAATGCTTGTTGACAAGAATGCAAGAGATGTCATTGGATTACCATTTCACAGTGGAACAAGAAGTTGGATCAGCCACTCATGCCTTCTTCGGTTTTAACGGTAAACGACTCCGTTGCATTATATTCGATTAAATCTCGGATAATCTTTCTTTTTTCGATACATTATGTGAACGCATTATTAATGCAGGAACTGCTGGTATATGGAGAATTGCCGCCATTAACGAAGCAGGTGGATGGAAGGATAGAACCACAGTCGAGGACATGGACCTCGCCGTTCGAGCTAGTCTTCGAGGATGGAAATTTGTCTACCTCGGTGATCTTCAGGTATGATTTGATCTTCATTTCCTATGCGAACTTACTAATAAGGATATGACTCTCCAAGAACCCTAGAACATGTCCAACTTACGGTTCCATATGTTTGAGAAACTTTGTTTAGGTAAAAAGTGAACTTCCGAGTACTTTCAAGGCCTTCCGTTTCCAGCAACATAGATGGTCCTGTGGTCCTGCAAATCTGTTCAGGAAAATGGTGTGGGAGATCATTCAAAACAAGGTTAAATTTTGCTGTAAATTTATTTACCCCTTTTTTTCACTTTTACATGTGTGAAATTGATTTATTTGTAACATTATCTGTTGCAGAAAGTGAAATTCTGGAAGAAAGTATATGTCATTTACAGTTTCTTCTTCGTCCGGAAGATCATTGCTCATATGGTCACCTTTTCCTTCTACTGCGTTGTCCTTCCCCTTACGATTCTGGTTCCCGAAGTTAAAGTTCCGATATGGGGTGCCGTTTATATTCCTTCGGTGATCACAGTCCTAAACTCCGTAGGAACTCCGAGGTTCGGCAGTCATATACATTGCTCGATTTTTTTGTCGAAATACTCGTATCTAACATATAATCGAACATGACTGGACATTTGCAGATCTATCCACTTACTGTTTTACTGGATTCTGTTTGAGAACGTGATGTCGTTGCACCGGACAAAAGCAACGTTGATCGGTCTGTTGGAGGCAGGCAGAGCCAATGAGTGGGTCGTCACCGAAAAACTCGGAGATGCAGTCAAGAAAGCTGCAGAGGCTGCTAAGAGCAAGACTAATGCTAAAGCTCACAGAAGATTTAGATTCAAATTTACTGATAGGTAATGAACTAAGTTCGATACGTATACGATCCGTCGAACATATTCGTGTCCGATATTCACATATTATTTGTTGCATGAACAGATTGAATACATTGGAGTTGGGATTTGCAGCATTCCTTTTCCTATGCGGGTGCTATGATTTCGTCCACGGGAAGAACAACTACTTCGTGTACCTATTCCTCCAAACGATTACCTTCTTCATTACAGGAATTGGTTATGTCGGCACCATCATTTAATGAAAAATCTGCTCCAATCAATCATTTTGTCAGCCTTTGTTGTCGGTGTATTGTTACTGTTTTTTTATTTTCTTTAATCGGCTGCCAAACAAGCAAAATAGAGCTCTGTCAGCAACCTGTATGATCACTTATTGTGAGCTCATTCAAACTGCAAAAAGGGAGAACATGTCATTCAATACAATTCAAGTACAAAGAAAAGCTGTCGAATAATATAAAGATAAAACGATTAATAATTGGCCTAGTAAGACAAAGGATAGGTGGCCTAAATCGAGAGTGGATTTTTTCCAAATTCGAATTTTAAAAAATATATCATATTTCGAATATAAGATATTATTACAAATATCGAGAATTTGAATTCGTAATAAATCTTATATATCTTATGAGTAATTGTATGTGAACATATACGAATCGGAACAAAAAACAATACCTTTTTGGATACATGTAAATGTGTGAGTTGGCAATTCATGTTCTCAACTTGCTGTCTTGTGTTTTGGCTTCTGGGAACGATGGATCAATTTGTTAACATTGACATATGGGGATATTTTGAGCACAGCCCATAATTTGGGATGGCACATGGGGTCACTGCTCACGCTCTTCATTGTAATATTAGGAAGCATCTATTATGTACTGGATAATGACTCTTTAAGGGAAAATCTAGAAAAATGTTAACCAATAGCTTACATTATCTTTCACCATTTTCCATAATAAATCAATTGACAACGCATACACAACATGCAGGTTGTAGATGTAACTGCTCGAACTTAGAACCTTTAGGATCCGTTTGGATCAAGGAATTTAGAATTCCTGGTAGGCATATTCTTTTCCTGGTAGAGGATACCCATGTTTGGTTGGGTAAAATTTCCAAGTGGGGGAAATATTTATTTACCAACAGTAAATATTGTGTGTGTATTCACGGGAATGTTATTCCCACGTAGATGTTAGGTATTCTTTTATTCCTGTGTTAAGGGCTAAAATACCCTCTTTTCCCCGTTTGTCTCTGCGTATCTTCTTCTCCCCTTGCCTCTACGAAAAATTCATCGGTTATCCTGGTAAGATTTCTTCTCCTCTCCTTTTCTTCTCTTCTCCCTTTCTTTACAATTTTTGACTTGTTTAAATTTTCCAGAAACCTGGTAACATTTCCATTGCTTGTCTCTTTTCATTAATGTCAAGTTTCATTTTTCTTAGAAGATTGGGGTTAGTTCCCTTAACAACGGGGGTAACAAGCATAGGTTGACGTATCTTATCTTATTTAGCATATAGAAGACTGAAATGGAAAAAACAGAGTTTACCCAGAAGTTTAAACCACAAATGCAGAAAATCCTTCTAGTTTCAGCAATGCTCTAAGCCCATTGATATTCGAAGACAGAATGTTAACAAACTCTGTATTCTCCTTAGGAGGTGTTCGTCTCATAGTTCTAGGATTATATGTTATCCACCCTTTTTGCGGCTTCTTATGGGCCAAAATAGTCCATGGTTCGCTTTGATTCACATGTTTTGCTGCTTAGAAAATTGTCAGAAGCTGAATTGTGAGAGAGAAAAAAAAGCTGAGTTAACAATTCAAAAGATAATCCCAATTGAGGCAAATAATTATAGAAACTTTGGTTATAACTAGGGTTTGGAATACGTTAAAAACAGAGTTTTTAACTAAATTCTTAAAGATGCTAAATTTGGGATTTTTAAGATAATGGCAATTGAGGCATATAGATATGGATTTTTTTTCCCAATGGGTCGCTTTGGTTATAACTAGGGTTTGGAATACAATAAAAACAAGATTTTGAACTGAAGTCTTAGATACCAGAATATTGGGATTTTTCAGCTGAAAATATAATCGCCATTGAAGCATATAGTTATCAATATTTTTTTCCAATGGTAACTCCATTTTCAGCACTAACATCTTTGCTATCAATGTCTTTTTTTATAGAACTAATATTAAACCATGTGCAATCTATATAGTTTGAATGACATTGAATAATATTTTGAAGGGGTACACACAAATAAGCTAAACTTCAACGAAGTTCAAAATTCCCCTTGAATAAAAACATAAACCTTAATCTCGAAGAACTCCCATGTAAAACCAGACAAAAATTGAGGCAAACAGTACACCATAAAACATAATGTTCTTAAAATCATTAAAGAGAAACACAACCGCAAAAGTTTGTTTAAACCTTAAATCTCCCATTGACTAACCATCTTCTATCAAAAACACGAGACAAGAGATGCCTCACTCCTTCAAAATTAGACATGTAAATTAGAGCATGCCAACCCAACCTCATTTGCCACCATGTTTTACCTTCTTGTGAGATCCTAGACTGCCAGACTTTGGAGTCTTTGCTGAATATTTCCCAGCCTGCTTCCCTGGATGCGGTGTTGTTGTATGGCCACCCTTCTTACCATCTACTGACTTCTGGGGTGAAACTGCAAATTTAGCCTTTTTTGAAGCAGGGGTTGTAGTTTTCACAGGTCTATTCTTTCTCTTTGTTAGAGAAGTCTTCTTACCTAGTAAAAGCAAGGTTCAAAAAACAATAACCCATCCTTATACTCAAATTAAAGTGAGAAAAAAATAGTTCTGTAAATAAGAACAGTATAAGCATTACTGCTACATATAAATAAATTTTCTGCAGTACCTGAAGCACAAGTAGTTTTCTTCTGCTCGGCGGCGATAATTTTATCATCAACATCGACAGTTTTGCCCTTAATTTGCAACTGTTTTACAGTTTTCCTGCTCCGTTAAACCATGGAAACCTTAGAAATAGTGTTAACATCTTGGACTTGGTCCTCTACTGATTTTGTCTCCATCATAGGCATATAAATAAAACTTTAGGTTTGTTGTTGCTTGGTATGGCTCTTTAGGTTTGGGGGTGTCACACGCTCAACGTCTAGCTCAGTTATGCACGCCAACACACTCACTCAACTTCCCAGTTTGTTGTTGCCACCCTCTTTGTTATATTAGGCTAAAATATATTGGTAGTCCAAACTTTTAGGTTATTTGTATTTTCGTTACCGAACATTTGAAATTTGCAATAAAGTCACTAAACTTTTAATTCGTTATTATTACAATTATTATCGTAAAAAACTGATAGAACATGTTTGTCCAAATATATTGGTAGTCCAAACTTTTAGGTTATTTTTATTGTGATGACAAACAATTGTTCTTGTTAAATATTATTATTTTCTAATATTAAAATGTTTGTTCATAATAACAGTTATGGCTCATTTACCAATACGAAAGAAGACGCATATCGCCACAATTCTTATTTTACAACTGCAAATGATGGAGATTGTGTGTCATATGCTTATGGTTTTAATTCGTTATTATTACAATTATTATCGTAAAAAATGATAGAACATGTTGTCCAAATATATTGGTAGTCCAAACTTTTAGGTTATTTTATTGTGATGACAAACAATTGTTCTTGTTAAATATTATTATTTTCTAATTTAAAATGTTGTTCATAATACAGTTATGGCTCATTTACCAATACGAAAGAAGACGCATATCGCCACAATTCTTATTTTACAACTGCAAATGATGGAGATTGTGTGTCATATGCTTATGGTTATTTCATTATTCTTAGAAAATATAAAAATCGACCTAAAATAACTTATGCACATGAAAGACTTCATAGACTAATATTAGATCACTTAATTTACATAAAATATATTGAAAGTGATCGACAAAGTGTTGATAATGTCGAATGGATATGAGAGCATTTCTCAAATTGTGTCACCTATTACAAAGTCAAGGTGGGTTAAAAGAGTCGATATATGTCTATAGAGAGATGGTTATTACTTTCATTATATTATCCCCCATATTAAGATTAGAGTTTTAAAACGTCAAACAGTAAGATCTGGTGAAAAAATTAGTAGAGTTCTCCATACAGTGTTAGCTTCAGTCTTGAAAACTGCATCCGATCCTTTTTAGAAAACCAGAACCGATACAAGATAATTCAACAGACGATAGATGAAAAGGTTTAAGGTATTGTATCATAATTCTGAACTTTCTTTTAAGTTAATTAGTAATGCTTAATACATAAATGGATAGTAATAATGTAATTAACTTATTTGATGAATATAGGGATGTTTGGGTGCTCCAGATGGAACATATATTAAGGTCAATGTAGCTGCAATCGATAAACCTAGATACAAAACAAGAAAAAATGAAATGCGACAAATGTACTTGGTGTTTGCACACCAAACATGCAATTCATTATGTTTTACCTGGGTGGGAAGGTTCTGCAGCTGATGGTAGAATACTCAGAGACGCCATTAGTAGAAGAAATGGTTTAAATGTTCCACAAGGTAAATTATTAGGTCATTAATATATATAATAAGTAAAATTCTTACAAGTTTTGTATATTAATTTACTTTTTAAATTAAAATAATATAGGTGTTACTACTTATGTGATGCTGGATACACGAATGGAGAGGGATTTCTTGCACCATATAGAGGTCAAAGATACCACTTGAATGATTGGAGAGAAGGACAAACCTACCACCCCTCAAGAATATTTCAACATGAAACATCTCAAACTAGGAATGCATTGAGAGATGCTTCAGCATATGAACGCGATGGGCAATTTTAAGGGAAAAATCATTTTATCCAGTGAAAACAATGTAGACTCATTTCAGCTTGTTGTCTTCTCCATAATTTCATAAGATCTGAGATGCCAATCGATCCTATTGAATCTGACTATACTGAAGCTAGTAGGCATGTTGAAGAGATTAAGTAGAAATGATCAGACATTGGAGCAAGCAGTGCTTGGACTGAGTGAGAGACAAATTAGCAGAAGATATGTTACTAGTTGGTTGGCGTCGCGTACTTTAGGATAGATTTTATTTTATGTTATGTATGACTTTCACCTTATTTTATCTAATGTTAGTGGTCATTACTTTCATGTATTGACATATTATATTTATGGCATAAACTTTATTAAATTTTATGTATTTATCTCCTATAAATTCAAATTTATTTGTTATGGCCATTCATTATGTCATTCATACATTTGATTTATATTATGTTACTATTTTAAATTTCATTTATGTATTGACAATGATGACATGTTTTATGTTATGTTATGCATTTTTTATATACATCTTCTTAGATTGTTTCGAAGAGCAATATGTCAACATCAAATATGGAATCTCAAAAGGGGGAAAAATCGACATCTAGAAAGGTTAAGTCTTTAGGAACTAAAAGGACATGGACTAAAGAGGAGGATGCTGCACTTGTTGAATGTTTACACATTTTGGCTGAAGACCCACATTGGAAAGCTGATAATGGAACATTTAGATCAGGTTATCTATCTAACCTTGAAAAGATGTTAGAAATCAAGCTTCCAACATCACAAATTAGGGCCCATCCACATATTGAATCTAGAGTGAAGCTACTCAAAAGACAATACAATGCTTTATTTGAAATGCTGAATATTGGAAGTGGATTAGGTTGGAATGAAGAAGAAAAATGTTTAAATGCACCAAAGGATGTGTTTGATGATTGGGTTAGAGTAAGTATTTAATGAATTATCTTCTTTCTATACTCTTTGTTATCTACTTAGCTTTGTAAGATTTATTAAATCTGTGATTTTATTATATTGTAGAGTCATCCAATGCTGCTGGATTGAGAAACAAGTCATTTCCATTCTTTGATGACTTTGTTCATATATTTGGAAAAGAAGAGCTACAGGAACAGCAGCGGAGACAACTGATGCAGTGGAACATATTGATGTAGAAGACAATGCATTATAGATGCATTACTTGAAGAAGAGGGATAAGAGTTCTGAATCAAGAGAGGAAGTTGGTGCTTCAACTTGCCAAACATCTGATG